ACTTCCCAAGGATGCCTGACTGTGACTCAGTGGCTCTGTTTATAAAAGTGAGCCACAGGTTCAAAGATGCACTTGAGAGTGTCATTATTTAGGGGATTCCACCACGACCCAAATTCACAATTCCTCACCAGGGAAAAGGAGATGTGATCTCCTGAGTTACATTTCCTGCCTGCTGTGGGTGGGGACCAGCAGCCCCCCAGGGATGCTCCAGCTGGAGCACAGAAATCTGGGCTACAAAGGGGGGATTCTTCCCAGAAGAGGTTTTGCTTTTAATACACAACGTGTAAACAAGCAAAACAGCACAGGAAAAATTACAGTTTGCATTAAATTCAGGATCCAGGCTGCTGCTCTGGCTTTACAGCCGAGCAAGGAAATTAGGATAAATTAAATGTTGGATTACAAAGGTTTCAAAGTTTTACTGGTCACTCAGCTGAACAACGAGCCATGAAAGTATTACTTGAGTTGCTGTTAATAAAACTTGCAGTTCATTAAAGGTATCTGATGGAGAGAAACCCATGTAAATAGGGATTTGTGAATGGTGAGCAACTTTTCCATCAGAAACAAACTCTCTTTGAGGTTCAAAGAGTTTAGTTAACGATTTAAAGATTTTTTTCTCATTGTTTTCGTGCGTTGCCAACTCTTTGTCTACGAAAAAATAGCTTGAAAAAGCTGCTCCTTGAACACATTTTCCAAGTTTCACAAATTCCTCTAGATATAAAATACAACAATGGAAAAAAACCCAGCTGCTGAATTCTGAGAAGGATGTCAAAATTAAAATACCCTGATGATATTGCAAAAATTATAAAGGTTCTCCCTCTCTCTGGAAGTGCAAAGCAACATTAAAAGAATTTCTTCTCCTTCTGTTTCTATCACACTTCTGCATCTCTGTTTACCCAGTGTAACTAATGGTAAGGGATTTCAGCTTCCCAATTATGATATTGCATTGACCTAATTGGGTTTCTGCAGGGCTTCAGGGAATTCTGTGCTTAAAGACTTTGTTCCCACTAAATTAAGAAAGATGTAGAAGCACGGCAGCTTCAGGAGGGGACAAATGAACCTCCTGATCCAGAGCTGGAGAAATAAGTTCTGGAATCAACCGAAACACAAACCCCTTGCTGGGATTAATAAATCTGAGCCTAAAGAAGGGCCGGGAAAGCTCCACCGACGGCGGGTCCTGAGGATCGGAGCCGCCAATCCACAGGCTCCCATTGACCTCCCGGCCAATTACAGCCTCATTGGCAAAGCAAACAAGGAATTATTGGCTGTTTAGTCGGGCTTTTCTTCTCCCTCTCGCTCCCCTGGTTCTCATTCGGGTTTTTTCTCCCCTTTTCCTGTTAGGCAAAAGGAAAAAAAAAAAAAAAAAACAACAAACCAACCCCAAACCCCAAGCAAGCCCGTCTGCAAACACCTGATATTCATCTGAGTCGCTGCAGTTGTACAGTCTTGTTAAATTGTTACCACCTTTTCCACAAGCAGTTTTGGCAATTAACCTCGTGGTCATACACTTCAAAGGGAACAACTGTTGAGTTTAACCTCCTTGAGCTACCATGGATTCCTTTATGATTTTTTTCTTCAAACACTTTCATCCCTTCCAAAAAAAAAAAAAAATGCAGACTGATAAGATTGGTGTTTATTTTTCCATTTTGTCAGTTTATTAAGATGACAAAATACCTCGACCAGTCACCACCAGTTTGTGCTCCTCCAAATCTGTGCAGAAGGAAGCTCTCCTATTAATTCACATTTCTAAGGCAGGGTCTCTGCTTGCTGGAATCCATGGATATGATACATCTGACCTCTCCTTGCCCCTGTTTGCAAATCTCTCATATATTTCTCACAATGCCCAAAAGCTCCGAAAACAGAGCATACAAGTAGAGTTAATGCTGAGGACATGAGAAGCCATTAGAAATATATATATATGTGTATATATATATATTTATTCTTTAAACCCCCACCATCACTGAGAGACAGGACTACTTTGCACATAAAAAGAGCTAAAAAAAAATAATAAATTCCTCCACCTTCAATTAGAATACCAGTTAGTGGGACCAGGATCTGTGTCAGTACAAACCAAAGTTAACTTTTCCTTCTGACTAAACTTTTGACTACAAAATATATTAATTTACCAGACCCTGCAGCTGCTCCTTGAGCAACTGGACAGTCAATGATAGGAAAGTACCAAAGCAAATACTACAGGAGCGCGATCAGATTACTGGGAATGTTGTTTGCCCCCCACATTTACATCCTGGTATTGGAGCACTTTTTTTTTTTTTCCTCCAAAGTAAATCACAAAAATGTAAAATGGGGTATTCTTTGGAGAGCCAAAAAACACCCCCCCAAAAAAGGTGTTTGAATGACTTTTGGGTAAGGAGTGAGCACACCCGGCCGGGCTGGTGGAAGCATCACTTTTCTCTGGCTGCAAACTGCCCTGGGTGGGAGAAGGAACAAAATCCTTGTCTAGGGAAAGAGTGGAACAAAAGTTTCGTATCTGTCTTGCAGTGCAAGAAGGGGAAGCATTTGGGCAAGCATATGGCACGTGTTTCAGCTTGTGAGGGAGGAAAAAAAATAATCCCGATGTTCCGTGCAGTTCAGACCAAATAGAAAACTTATTCTGACTATTCTCATTTGTCAGAGGCTTTTCAAAACTAAGCAGATCTCTCTGTAGCTCCAATGTCAAAGGAGGAAGGAACCAGTGGGTATTGAGTTCACATTTTAGGTTCTCTTTTAACCGTTTCCACTTTTAATTTTAATATGCTTGTCAACAAAATGAGAAACCGCTTCAGTCAAAAAAAAAAAAAAAAAAGAAGGAATGAAAGAAAGAAGAAATTAGCACATTAAATGATACATGGGTCTGGTGCTATGTTGCACAGTTCAGTGAACCCCTGCACAGATCAGCAAGATGGCTGGAAATGTCTCTTTCCGTCTGTTTTCCATCTCGGAAGGCTGTGGACTCAGCAGAGTGTGAAGAGTGCCTCTCTCCCCTCCGACCGCTCCTGCTCCCCCCCCAAAAGCCCCTGCAGCAGAGAGCAGGAACTAGAGCAAATGCTTTTGTGAATTAAGAGATCTTGTGAGCGTAAATTTGGTCAGGCTGCTCCTTTCTGCAGGCCAGCCCCGGCTGCTGCCCCAGGATGTGAACTGTCAGTTCGCATAGCTGGTGATGAGTTGCAGAACCATCAGGAAAGGTGAAGACGGCAGAAGCAAGAAAGATTCAAGACTGGTGGAAATCATTTCACAAGGAAAATTTCAGCCATCAGTGGGAGGAAGCTTTGAAAAATGCTGCCATTTCCGAGTCAGAACGAAGGAAAAATTAAATTACTGCCGGTGAGGCGAGCCAAAGTCGCATCTTACCCCAGGGAGAGGTTTGATAATGGTAAACATTTGACAGCTGGCCTGAAGTTGTTATCTTGTTCTAACAGTTGTTATAGTCTGAGTGAACATTTCTGATAAGAGAACAGAAAGAAAAACACTAACCCATTTTTAATTTCTTGCTTTCTGTGTTTTAAGCTGCAGTGCCCAGAGCCAAACAGGTTTAAAGCCGTTTGCCACCATCGCTCCAATTAAAGCTTTGGTTTTTACACCAAGCACTGGACCAGGGCTGGGAAGGAAAGGCAGCACCACGTCAGCTGAATGACACCGAGGGGGCACAGCAATACCTCGAGAATAATTTAAAATAACTCCAACCCACTCGCTTTCAATAGCCCTTAAATATCCCTTCTCTGTTTCACCATGAGCAGTTACAAGAATTAACCCCAAATTAGAGTGAAATTGAAAAAAATTAATCAAGTTAAGTATTTAACTTCCACATCTACCACAAAATCTTGTTTCGGTGTTACTTTACTTCAAGCTGTTGATGTACAACCACAAAACTTTAATTCCTTTATTATTCTTTATTAAAGAATAACTATTTGGACACGTTAGAAAGGCAGCAACCTCAGTTCCACCTGAGAGGAGCAATAATGAATGGACCCCAGTTCTGTTTAAGCAGAAAAAGGTATGCTATCTTCACAGGAAATTTAATTATACATCAGGTTTTTTGTGCTGGGTTGTTCCTGACAAAGCCTGTATTGAGGAGGGAAACACGGCTCTGCTCCGTCCTGCCATTAGCAGCTCCTCCTTTAGGAAAACAGCGTGGATATGGAAAGTACATTACATGTATGTCAAAATCCAACTACCATTCTGGCAGAGAAACGTTCTGGGTTGGTTTGGTTGGTTGTTTTTGTTTCTTTTTTTCCCTTTTTTTAAAATCAGGAATGCATTTCTAAGCCGTTTAACGCAGCTTAACCTCGCGCAACGCGGGCACCAAACCTTTCCCTCCCGTTCAAAATAATTCAGATGAACTTGTACCGTGGCTATTAAACTCTCTGACATGGACTGTGGGCAAATCTTCCTATCAGTGAGCACCTAAAACCTGCCTGCCCAGCGCCCAGGGAGCAGGCACACCCAGGTGGCACCGGGAAAGCAGAGGGATCCGCTTTCCCTGATGGTCATGATCCCAACCCCAGGCACACGATAAGGCTCCAATTAGACAGGCAGCATGTAAAGCTTGTCCCTCAGATACATAAATTAGCTCCCAAACTCCCTCTGTATCTCCTGCATTAACAGGTAGAAAGTGTTTCATTACTTTTGCGAACGACTCTGCCCCGTCTTGAAGCGGGAGGGTATAAATTGATATTAAAGTATGGTATTTTGAGAATGTTTCAAAGTAAGGTCAAACTCGTATTAAAAACCTACTAGTGTAGGCTAAAATAACAGTCTGGCTGAGCAGCCTTCAGTGCATCTGGGTTCAATTACCCACTACATCCTTGCTATGTTTTCTACTAGCAAGAACAACGCAAGCAAGGCTCGGAGTTCACGAATAATGTCAAAGTTAGGTTACTCAGAAGAGGAATGAGATAAATCATCCAAATATCACAGTCCTATTGGCAGACAATTTTTTTGCCCCCCCCTCTTCATCACCGAAAGCAGCACAATATTGCATAACAACAAATAGAGGACAAAAGTCCTCACCTCGGGAGGAAGAGTGAACCCAGCTGGAATGCTGCTCCCGACACACTCGAGCAGGGAATGAAAAGCACACGCTGAAACCATGGCTGGAAAAAGAGAGGCAGAGCCCAACCTAATGCACAAAGCAAACAAACACGATTTACCACACTGTCACCCTGACTGAGCTCTTTTTTCTTGGTGTTTGACCCTGGAACAATGAGGCTGGATTAACATTCATTATTTGCATTCAAGGAGCTGTCGTGTGGAGCAGGAACTGCTCCAGCACCAGCCTGAGAAACAAGGGAGGCTGGGACACTTGGGGAAGGGTTGGTTCCCTCCTTGCTGACTCGCTCAACAGCACCCAAAACTTTGTCCAAACACAAGTGTCTTGCTTTCATGTTGGCAACTGGTTAATGAGGATTTAAGAGCTGGCAGGGGGAGGAAGGATACTGGGGGCTCCACTCAGCAGCACCCCGGGTAAGTCCTGAGGATCCCATCAAATCCAACCCAAATGGCCTAAGACAGACTCCAATGTCACCAGCCCTCCCAAGGGACAGGTGCCACATCCTTGCTCCACACCTCAACCTTCCTGACTAGTCCCAAATTGGGAGGCTGTGCTTAGATCCTGAATAAAACCACGACAGTGTCTCTGTCTGCAAAGACAGACGCTCCTCCAGGGAACGTGAAGATTGTCATTTGCTTCCATCAAGGCCCATAAAAAAGCAATTGTCAGTAAAGTTGCTCAAAATTATGTATGTTCTGGGATCACTGTACGAAGTCTTTTTAAAGCACCATGTTTAATTCCGAGCAGCTCTGCAGGAAACATGGTAAAAGGCAGCAATAAATCACCACCATCCAAACTGTGCTTGTGGTGCATGAGGAGTTAGTTCATCCATTCTGGAATTCTATTTGCATCAAAGCAATAACATATTTGCAAAATGATCAATAAGGTTAAATTTAGAGGAAAACGTGTCTTTTACCCAGCCAGTGTTTGTCAGAACCCTCCCAAATTAGAACAAAGATTTCACATCGTGCAGTATCCAGTGCCCCGTCGTATCTATATATTTATTATAAATTCATATGACTGTAATGTACCTAATTATATAAGGTCATTTCTTATAGAAAAGCACAAGTATAAAAGTTTGATGCCAGAACAGTCTGGCTGTTTATTAATTTACTATTGCAGATGAGAAACCCTGCACTGTCACAGGGCCCTGTGCAACACACTCCTGCACTCCAGAAAAGCAACCTGCCCAGCTCACAAAATATTTACTAGCCCCCAGAACTCCAGGATGAAGGGGCTCCAAGGCTTGGTCCCTTCCCATATCCACACAGGAGCCACATCTCCCTCTCCCAGCACTTCCCTGTTTCCCTGGAGACAGGCATTTACCACGAGGGCTATAAATACTCGCAGTAATTGGGCATCTTTGGAAGCAAACCTTCCAAGCCATTTGCCATCTCAGGAATGTTTTAACTTCTGGAGCAGGGAATGGTCTCTGTTGGAAAAGAATCTGAATGCAGCTCTCAGATGGGCCAAGGTCAGAGCTCCAGGGAGGGAGAACCATGAGGGAAAAGTCATCCTTGCACAGGTCATCACTGGTGCCCGGGAATGGTAAATTTTGTCAATGAATCTGCTTTGCTGACCATTTTCCCCCAAAGCTTAATATCACCACAAATCCCAAATACACTATAAAACGTGAGGGAGAGATTAAAAACTTATCTTCTCACAACCTATACTGCTAATGGCCAAGGTAAGGCCCTAAAACATCAGCTGATGCTGAAGGGACTGATCAGCCTATTGCAAAGGCTGTAGGATTTGCACAATTCCTTTTGCCAAGTTGTAGGGGAGACCTATCAGCATTCAGAGAAGCAATTTAGACTTTGCTGGGCACAAATTACCTGAATGGTTCCTATTTACTGAACAGGTAAGGGCAGTTTATCTACTAAATAATAAATAATGTATTTACTGTACAGGGCAGGTTGGACAGGGCTTGGAGCAACCCGGGATGGTGGAAGGTGGCCCTTCCCATGGCAGGGGGTGGCACTGGATGGGCTTTAAAGTCCCTTCCAATCCAGACCATTGTAGGATTTATTTCTGCTCTTTTCCCTTCTCATGTAAAGGCTTCAAGGCCCTTTCAAACACTGGGTTTAAATGGTGAAATAACACCTTGAGCAAAAACTCCCAAGTATTCTGGGATAGATAGGACTGAAGATACCCATTTACAACAATGGCATTTCAACTCTGTCATGAACCAAGCACTTCTCCAGTCAGGAAAAAAAAAACCAAACAACTTCTTTTGGACATGGTACTCAGGTTAAACTTTGATTAGTCAGGCACTAATGAGCAGAGAAACAGCAGATTCATATTTAATTCTTACAACCCTTAACATCTGACTGGTACAATGGTAAATCAAAGAAAACTCCATTATGAAAACTAAGTTGTCAGGTATAAGGAGTTAAATGCAGCCTTGCAGGGGAGAACAGAGTTTCCCCCCCCAGCTGCTTTTTGGAGCAAACCACCCCAAGCAAGTCAGAGTTGGATTCATGGAGCACCAGAACAGTGTTTGGTACATTAACAAACCTGCTCACAGCCCAGCTGACTGAGGTCTGCTTTTATGGCTTCATCTTGCTCCACCTGAGCCAAATTCAAAATTCCCAGGTAAAATAATCATCCCTCCCATCAGACAGGGTGATTAAACACCGAGACACACGATCCATAAACCCCAAAGCAATCCCTGTTTCCCTGCTGGATGTGCTGGGAAGAACTCGACACCGAACTGTGCAGGTGGAAGAGATGAAGTCCTCTCTCCCAGGACAGGTTTAATGCCTGCACTAAACCTGTTTAGGGCTGAATTTACTTCCAGAATTTCAACCCTTCCCTCACATGCTGGAACTGGGAGGTCTGGCAGAAGGGGAGGGTGGGGGGCTGTTTGCATCTTAGGAAGAACAAAGAGAAGCAACTTCAATACAACCTTGAAACAGAGCTGCAGGCAGAATGGTCTTTTGTAAAAATGATATTCCTCTGACGCTGGTGTGTAAGTATCTGCTCTTATCTAATAAAAAGAGCCTTTTGAAGTAAGTGGTTGGTTGGGCTGTGCCAGTGCTCGTGTTACTGACGCAGAAGAAAGGCCTCCTGAATGCAGCATCCAAAGGCTTTGTCTGATCTGCAGCACTTTGAACCATAAAAGCAGCAAAGAGTGAAAACAGAAGAGAAGCCAAAGTGCTTAATACTGGACAGCGACTTTCTTTAAACCTCTTCTGCTCCCTAATTAACTCCAGTGACTCTCCTGTGGCACAGCAGTGGGTGGTGGGTGCCTTTCCTGCATCCATGAACATCCAGAAATCCAGAAGGTGCACTGGGGCACAGAACAGAAAGAAGTGATGCTTTGCCTCCAATTTTTGTGGGTTTTGTTTTTGGTTTTTTTTATTTTTTGCTTTACAGCCAGGGAAGATTTAGATTAGACATTCAGAATTATTTTTTTTTCATGGAAAGGGCTGTGAAGCATTAGAACCAGGGAAGTGCTGGAGTCACCATCCATGGAATTGTTCAAAAACTGTGTGGATGTGGCACTGGAGGACACGGTTTAGTGGTGAAGGTGGTGGTGCCCCTGGGTTGGACTTGGTCGTTCTAAAGGTCTCTTCCAACCTTAACAATTCTGTGATTCTAAGATTTGTGAAAGGACACATCACTAAGGAAGTGTTTTGGGAGGGTGACTAAACCCAACAGGAAACATGCAATGATTCCATGATTTGTGAGACAGAGCTAAAGAAGTGTTTTGGGAGGACATCTCAAATCAATATGAAATAACCATAAATCCAGGCTCTTCTCTCCACTTGCATGTTATTTATTATAAAGTGGGCAAGCAAACAACACTGAAAAGGAAAGTTCAAAGATTCTCTTTATAGAGGTTTCTAAAAAATCAACACTTTGGAAGTTACCTGAAAAATTTACACCAGAAATGGATGATTTGATTTGATGGTAGAAAAATGCAAGGGGACCACTGAAGCTATTCAGTTCCTTAAAAGAGATGTAGAGGGTAAGTTTTTCTAGAATTTAGCCAGCATTTCTTAAGTGGCCTTCTCTTTTTCCAGTGTGTTGGAACTGCTGAGATGTCCCTCACAGAAGAGCAGCCATCATTCACCCTGGTATTTATGAAGAATTCATAGTGGCAACTCTTCAGATGCTCTGGCATCGTTCTGAAGCACCATGAATTCTACACTGGTCTTTTGGGAAGAGTTGGGGACCTTATTTCCAGTGCATTAAGAATGAAGGTGGGGTTTTTTTATGTATATATATGTATTTTTAATGTTCAGGTTCCTTTTCTCTTGAGCCCTTTAGGGCTGTGAGACCCTTCAGCTCTGGATTATCCCTCTCAAGCTCGTGCACATCCAGAACCTCACGGTGCTGAATGCAGCCCCACTCTGGAATTAGCAAATTCTCTTTAAACACTCTCCATGTGATTCCTCCCTAATGAATAAACAAACACACATTTACGGCGGGGGAGATGTCACGGTTCAAAAAAGCAACACAACATCTCTCAGCTACCCTTTCTTAAAACCCTGATATGTCTGTGCATAAATCAAGCCCTTCTCTTGCTTGGGTAGCCCCTCACTGAGACGTGCCCATGGTGCTAATTCAGAGCAGAAAACGCTCTTATTCCAGGCCACTGCAGTGAAGTGACATTTACCTAATGCAGCTATAAATTTCCTGATAATTAGTGGGCAGCTGATGGTGATGCAAGCTGACTAGTGCAGCAATGCCAGCCTCAAACTAGCTCTCCAACACCCACAAGTTAATCAGATTTAAGCCTAAAAATTTCCAAAATTCGGACCAGTGCAGTGGCTCAGAGACAAAGGCTGGTGCCACCGAGCTTCCACCAGTTGCTGTGATCTCTTAATGGCCCAGGCACTGTTACTAACGAGATGGAGCTCCCCTGTACACTCCATTTCTCACATCAAAAAAAACCAAAACTCACATGACTTTTCACTTAGAAACAAGTAATCAGCCTTTCCTGAATCCTGGGCAATTGTGGAGTAAACGTAGAGTAGCTCGCATGGGACTAAAACCCAAGCGGTGCCTTCAAAAAAAGTAACTTCCAAAAGCCACTTCTAAAATTTCACAAGCCTTTGAGA